CTCCCAGGCTTAGAGGTGAACTACTGATGTCACGAATACCTCCGAACCGAGAACCGAAAAAGGGGCAGAAAACCAACATGAACAGTTTGATGATGGTGCACAGTAACATGTTACTGTTACAGATTAGGAGTCGGAGTCTTTACGGGATCGGTCAAATAGATCATCATCACCATCATCATCAGATCATCATCACACCACGAACTGTCCCATGAAAAGTTGGAACAGAGACCTAGTCATGGTTCACTGAATACTCGAACGAAGACCCTCTCTCTCTCTCTCTCTCTCTCTCTCTCTCTCTCTCTCTCTCTCTCTCTCTCTCTCTCCTGTCTCTTATACACATCTATACTCTCTCTCTCTCTCTCTCTCTCTCTCTCTCTCTCTCTCTCTCTCTCTCTCTCTCTCTCTCTCTCATTGTTGACCTCTCATTTCGCCTTCTGTTGCTCTTGTTTTTGTAAGCTCAACCCCACATGAAGTCTGCCAATGACTGAGTTTTAGAACTACGACTTCTGAAGTGGTGATAGTAAATATCTTCTGCTAATGAGCGCGATCCCAATCTGATAACGAAGATACGATCTCAATAAAGGTTCATGTATGCTTCCATGGAACAGTAAACATGTGATTCGCGTTGACATCATCCTCCTTACCTCTTCCTTTATTTCCTGTTTGCAGGATTTAGGCCTCGAATTTCAATCCGGTGACCGGTAGAATCCAACAGGTATCGAAGGATCTGTGCACAAGTAACAACAGTACGTATATTTGGGTAATCACATTATAACAAAATCGGGCACCATAACTAGACTTGAATAGGCTACCTCGAAGTAGTACAGGACTAGCCTCATGTGCCAAACTAGTTGGAGTAGCCTCATGTGCAAAACTACAGAATTACTTTTTTTTTGGAAAGGACGCTGAACCTGGTTTCCAGCCTGTTTTTCTATCTCTTCTTCCGAGGACACTGGACCTGCTTTCCAGTTTGATACCCAAGATAGGATGCTGGACCTGTTTTCCAGCAATCCAGGTTGAATTGTGAGGTCCCCGACCTCTATTCATGTCTTTTTAATACCAAGCAAAGTAGCCTGAATAGAAGTATACATCACAGTATAACTCAGGCTTTAGCCTATAACTACCAAGAGGAGTTAATTGCGATATGCAGACTGTGCAAACGTTAAAAAAAAAAGGGATTGGGAGGTGGACGTGAGGGCAGTTTTGCAAGGGAAAGGGAACTCTGACTATAGGTGGAGGCGTTCAGGGCGTCTGGGTACCATCGAGAGTCTCTAGTCACAGACTTTTGTCGGGAACCAAAGTGACCCTACCCTCTGCTGAAGGATTTTCTTGGTTGTGTTCATGCTTTCTGGTAAAATGCAACCACACTGATGTGAAATGGTTTTTTCTGTCTTTTTTGCTTGCTCGCAACATCACATAAAAACCAAGTGAGAGAGTAAACCTAAAAGCAACTGCACTCAATCATTTGATTACGCACACCAAACGGGAGAGGCCGAGAATCCTCAACAAACACTTGGAAAGAGCACGCAAGTATTTACTCGTTGACTTACGAGAGAAACCCTTGATCACATTGTACAACCTAAGTAGTGACTTAATTCCCCAACTATACACGTCTCCAAACTTACTAGGATTGCGAAGATTTTCAATCAACAAACCCTTTAAATAGTTGAACCTCAACTTTCATTTACAAATGTAAGTGGGTCTGTCAGGACACGGTGATCCTTTCAGACGCCCCCCAGAATGGACGGACACTGATGAGTGTGTGAGATTTGAAAAAAAAGTAAAAAAGGATTAGGACTGTGGACGTAGGTCACATATGCTTGCTTGGTATTTGTCTGTGACGCAGATCGTACCGGTGACATGTGAGATGCTGCTCAGTGTGTTTAACACAATAGGCAACATAGATAGGACCGGGTAACTGTGGGTATTGACGAGTCGGGAATGACGGGTTGGATTTGGTTGACTGGACGATATAAAGTCTGGTGGTGTGTCAAACTCTGCTCACGCTGCTTTTGTGCGTCGTAATATACTCTATGAGTTCCTATGAACGCACGCTACGGAGTTGACGTGAGCAGAGCCTCACGCCACGTGCACAGGCGTGAAACAAGGTTGCCTCGTGATTGATGAGTTAGTCTGTAAAATGCTGGTGCGATGAACCTTCCCGTTTTGCCCCAGCAAGGTGGCCACCGAATGGTTTTTTAAATGCTTGCAAAGTTTGATTAGCGCACTTTTCGTTCTCCTTGTTGTAATAGAAAACTTTAGACAAAATCTCTGCGCATTCACACCTGACCAATAAGAATGTATGTAACATGCACACTTTTTTGACTGATCAAGAAGCAAGCCCCTTGTACACTTTGGTGGACTGAGAGGAAGCGCTCAGGAAGTCAATCTACCTTTGTCGAAGTTTGTCATAAGTTCTCATAACAAACATAAGAGTTTTAAAAGAGTAAAGAATAAAGTAAAATGATAAGATAGAAAAGCACGAAAGTCCAATCAGGATTGGGCAGTTAATCCTTCCAAAGGGTCGCAATCACTGCTGTCAAGATCTCTTAGTGAAATCAGGCATAGTCATTTGGAAGCAGATGTGGAGTAGTGGTAAATCCTCCCAATTGCGTAGCAATGAATACCATTTTCTCAGGATCTTTCGACCTTAACAGGGAGGTGCGTTGACTGAGTGCATTTGTTGCTAAGGGACGTTGCACCCTGTTTCCATGTTTTTTTAATATAAAACAAGCACCACTGTAACATGTTTATATATTTCCTCCTTATATAGTAACCACGCTGTAACAACACCAACCACATTTGATTTGAAGGTCAAACTCCAGAAGCGCAAAAACTGCAAGACAACCACTAGAAACATTTGCAGAGCACAAACAACTCTCCTTGGTGCAGTGTGCCCTTCACAAGTTGGAGATTCCATTACCATAGCCAAACTAATTCTCAGTAGTTTTTCTTGCAACATCAACACTATGGGCCTTGTTCCACCACTCACAAAATGTCAAAATTTGTGAGTCTTGGTGAGCAGACCTTGACACCCGGCCTGACAAGCTGTAGTCATCGTTTTTCACCCTTGGCCAGTGGTGATATGCAACTTTTTTTTTTTTTTTTTTTTTTTTTTTTTTTTTTTTTTTCTGCCCATGTTTCACTCTTGGCGACTGGTGGAGCGCGAACCTATATAACGATCATTTCGTCAAAATGGACATTTTTTATTTTTTGAACGAAATTGAAACTGAGTTTTTTGGCTGAAAACTCGTCAAAATTTGTTGTTTTTTAGGGTCCAGCGTTGGACCCCCTGGCTGTACATGGACCTAGCTTGAGACCAGGCACCTCCAGGCAGGACTGCTTGGAAGTACCTGGTCTCAAGCTAGGTCCATGTACAACCACGCTGGACCCTCAGGAACAACAAATTTTGACAAGTTTTCGTCCAAAAAACTCAGTTTCAATTTCGTTCAAAAAATAAAAGGTGTCAATTTTGACGAAATGGCAGTTATATGGGAAATGTCACCGTAGTTCTTGTGCTAGGACGACTTGGGGGAGGGGGGGGG